AGAGAATGGGGGGTCCATAGAAGATGCCAGCTTCTTTCAATTTGGGCACTTTGGGGATCTCAAACAATTAATGTAAAATAACCAAAAAAAAAGATTTTTAAAATGTATTATTTCAGTTTCCTTTGAATACATCATTATGGTGTTCTTACCGGTGGCAGCAAACGCGTTAGTATTGTTAGTATTGTTGCCTTTACACTTTAAATAAATATGCTTTAGTGACTCCCAGTGAAATTTAACACGACAACATCAAGTGCAAAGAGTAATGAACTTAACCGGCAATTATTACTGTGCAGTTTCTGTTACTATTCAGGTATAGCTTAAATGGTACTGAACACTGAATGAATGGCGTTAAAGAAACCTGTAGTTCCTGATTTTCTTTTCTTTTTTTGAGGGGGTGTAGCAAAATCACAAAATCAAAGCCACTGTTGTGATCTGCATAATGTCAAATGTAATAAACAGGCATACTGTTTTAACTTGTTTAATATGAAAGGTGGGCTTGAATGTTTTAGTTAGTAGGGTGGAGTACAGAGAACTGGGACAATTAGAGGATTAAATAAGTTTTACAATTTGGGGCACATTCTGTCTGTTTAGCACTTACTAGGATTTTGTCAGTCTCCTAACTTTGGGAGCGTCATTGGAATAAGCCCAACAATCAAGTAATCTTACAACGAGAAACTGTCACTTCCCAGAACATCTAACATTGTTTGCTTACCACTTATATTTCTCAAATATGTTTTTATGAAATCTCAGATTCAAATGAAATTAAACGTAAAAATCCACACATCTATCAGGTAACTGGATGCCACCATCTTGGATTTGTTCCAATAATCTATAGAAGCACTGCCCGTTTCTGAATTTGAACATAATGGATGAGAAGAAACTGAAACATTATCTATAAATATTGTCACATTCACTTTTATGCTTGCAGCAGTTTTGTGCACATGCACCATTTTCTTATGTATAAAACCATTGCTCCACTTTGTGTCTGCCTTTTATGTAATACTTCAACATTATTGTTTTCTCTGACACTTTTTATTCCTCATTCAGATTACTTGGTCTCCTTTTTCCCCTGATGATTTTACCAATGATTATTTACAAAATAAGACAAGTAATAATATCACTTGGAGAAAAAGATACATTCGCAATTTAAAGGATTTCAAATTCCTTAAACAAAAATAATATATGAGAAACACCTCTGGTAGACAGCCACTAGGGGCAGGCTTAGTGCTGCAAGTAAACATTGCAGTTTCTCTGGAACTGTAATGTCTTACATTACAGCACTAAGTGCAATAGGGACAGTGCACCCAGACCACTTCAATGAGCTGAAGTGATCTAGGTGCCAATAGTGTTCCTTTAATTTAATACTGCTTACTAGGGATGTGCATGGGCAAAAACATTTCGGTTCGGTTCGGCACTTCCGAAATTCAGGACTGATCAAATAATTACTGATTGCATAAAGTAAATATTATAGTGCTTCCTAAAGAAAATACATAACATACCAAAGATAGGCACACATAATAAAATATGTACTAGTACTGACTAGATCCCATATCAGAAAAATACAAAACAAATAATAAAGTGGGAACAAATAGATAAGGGCTTTATTAAAGGGACACTACAGTCACCAGAACAACTACAGCTTATTGAATTTGTTCTGGTGAGTAGAATCATTACCTTCAGGCTTTTTGCTGTAAACACTGTCTTTTCAGAGAAAATGCAGTGTTTACATTACAGCCTAGTGATAACTTCACTGGCCACTCCTCAGATGGCTGTTAGAGATCCTTCCTAGGTCATGGCCGCCTAAAATGCATCCAAACATTCAGTGTATTCTCCCTCTGCATGCAGACACTGAACATTCCTCATAAAGATTCATTGTTTCAATTCATCTCTATGAGGAGATGCTGATTGGCCAGGGCTGTGCTTGAATCATGCTGGCTCTGCCCCTGATCTGCCTCCTTGTCAGTCTCAGCCAATCCAATGGGGAGGCATTGTGATTGGATCAGGCTACCACTTCTGATGATGTCAGCAGACAGCTTGTTTTTTTTTTTTTTTAGGCAAACAGCATGCAGATCTACAGCTTCTGGCTTGAATACAATAAGATGTTGCTATATTTATTGAGGCATGAGGGGCCCATGGGAGCTAGATGGTGGTGTTAACACTATAGTGTCAGGAATACATGTTTGTGTTCCTGACCCTATAGTGATCCTTTAAATATATTCACTATACTGTACTTCCACTTGCCTACATCTCATTTTCAATACACTCCATTTTCTTTTTCTTGCTGTTAATAATAAGTTCTTTTTAACATGTGTTCATGTTCCTGGAGTCTGAAATTTATGCTGCTAATCACCTGTCTTGATTTCTCTTTCAGGAATTCAACATATCTCTGCCGATTGCCTGTTCCTAGACATGACAATGGACCTAGATCATTTCTTGGCTCACGGCGATAAACTCTCCCAGCTAACTCTTTCTGCAAACACTGTTAAATCCTATGATAGGGCGTTCCAGTTGATCAACAGGTTTTTATTAGAGTTTGACATAGTTGATCATTTTGCAATAGAATCTATAATTGGATTCATATATAAAGATATTCAGAGTAGGGAGGTCTGCTCTTGCAGAATCTCCTACTCTGAAACTAGAGAACCAAAGAGGCACTCCAGTAGTGTTTCAGGGCTTAACCCCTATTCGTCTATAGAATAAAATTCTAACTCCTACTTCCGGAGAGGAAACTCTGTATGTAGGTATTACCTGGAGAGAACATAAAGTCTATATACTTTTAATTGGGAAACTTCACCGAAATGTTGTTGTGGTCAGATTTGAAATCCAAATCCTATTAGGCTAAGCCTCTGACTATTAGAATTTTAGCATAGATCCAATTCACCTATCTTATCAGGCTTTATTACGGTATGCCTATTTAGGGGAGTTGGATACAAGTTAAATTGAATATAGTTAAATCTTATTGTCAGAGATACAGGGAGAGGGCGTAATTCTAATTGCTAAATGAAAGTAATGTTGTATATTAGTAGAGCTGATACAAAGTAATATATCTGCTCAAGATCTGCAGTCACACTTACACTGGATTAGATCAATATAATCCAATGAGAAAGTCCTAATGGGAAATATGTTCACGTATAGAATTGATTAAGACAAACTAAATAGGAACTAAAGTAGTTGGTAATTCCAATTTGATTTAAAGTTTTGTCAAAATATCCTCGGTATTGAAACTAAGAGAAGAGTAGTTAAAAACAATAAATTCTTGCTTAAATGCTGCAGTCCCACATATTTGCCTTGTGGTAGATTAAAGGGACACTATAATCATCTGAACAACTTCAGTTTAATGAGGTTGTTCAGGTGAGAACTATAGCTCCCTGCAGCCTTTCTCATGTAAACACTGTATTTTCTGAGAAAATACAGTGTTTACATTGAAAGCTAGGAACACCTCCAGTTGCAGTCACTCAGAATGCCACCAGAGGGACTTCCGAGTTGATTGAGGCATAAAACTCAGTCCACTCAGATCTGCTGTCAGCAGAGCACAGGGCAGCACTGTGTCTCCTCCCTCTGCATGCAGACACTGAACTTTCCTCATAGAGATTAATTGATTCAATTCATCTCTATGAGGAGATGCTGATTGGCCAGGGCTGTGTTTGAATCATGCTGGCTCTGCCCCTGATCTGCCTCTTTGTCAGTCTCAGCCAATCATATGGGAAAGCACTGTGATTGGATCAGGCTACCACTTCTGATGATGTCAGCAGACTGCTTGTTTTTTTTTTTAGCCAAACAGCATGCAGTGTTACAGCTTCTGGATTGAATACAGTAAGCTTTTTACTATATTTATGGAGGCATGAGGGGCCCAGGGGGCTAGATGGTGGTGTTAACACTATAGGGTCAGGAATACATGTAGTTGCACTGGTGACTATAGTGTCCCTTTAAGAAATAAATTCTATATAGATGCAGTGTTTCCCTTGGAGCTCTAAAGTGTTGCCAGTCTGCTGTGACTAATTCAAAGAATCATCTATTAATCATAAATTAGCCTTTCTAGCTTATTAAATGCCAGCTCAAAATAATTCAACTGGTAATTAGGATCATTAAATATAAACAGACAGAGATAGATATAGATAAAGCCTCTCTCCATTTGAATCTTGCTAAATAGTCAGAGGAAAAAGAAATGATAAATAAAAAATAAAAAGTGCTAATATATCGAAGCCATTCTACTAAATAGGCAGGTTTACTACACCATTGTGTTTCGAGTGTTTATGTTCCCTGTGAGAAAGGAAAGAATGCCCTGTAGCTTGAATGAATAATATGTATGGTATCCTTTCTTTCGCCCTCTTTTTATTACAGGCCTACCGCATCGTCAGTTCCGTCACACCACAACCGATTATTCAGATATGATGTGTCACTCATATACTAATCCAAACTATGGGACTTGTTACAGAAGTATACCCAAAACACAAATGTATATAGCTCAGAATAGCTAAAGCCAGGGGAAATTGTGCAAGGTTAGACTATTGATCCACAGATTAGTAAAACTAGGCTGACGAATCAAACTATGCAACAGATTCTGTCAGAGAGAATTGTGAGGAGATAAACAGAAAAAAAGCAAAAAAAGCAATGCAGAAAAAAGAGAAGAAAGAAAGAAAAAAAGAATAAAGAAAAGACTATGTTTAACGAGAATATGTAAAGGAAGTGTACAAAATACATAAAGTCCCAAAACACTGTGATTGATTAAAAATCCAAAGAGTGCTCTCATCATAACCTTGGATTATATATATATATATAAAATTTCATTTATGTTAACTCTGAATGCTGCTCTCAAGTTTGGTCTAATTTGTCCCCCGTGATTATGTTTTAACCACACACTTTTTACACTATCACCGCACTAGATCATTATGGCAATGGGACATTTTCCAGATTAACGTTCCGCTGCCTGACGTATGACTTAATTTTGAACATGTCACTAAACACATTAGGAGAGGTGTGATCGGCTGGTCGGCGTGTGGGACTGGGTCACATGCACCTTGGAAACTTGGTAAGCTCATTTTCTTAATTTTCTGGGGTATACATACACAATGTTTATGTATGTACAGCATCTTGATAAAGACCTTATATAGGTCAAAAATTTGAATTTTCCACATGCGAATTTGAATACACTTTATTGATTGATTGATTGATTGAAAATCCAGCGAGTGCTCTCATAATTTCCTTGGATTATATATACAGCGCAGTGCAGCACCCTGGTTTGAGTACGCTATTTGGTATCGATTTTTGGGCAGAGTGCCAGTTTATTTGTGTTTTGTGTATATATATATATATTTGTTTTGTTTTTTAATGCAAATAAATTAATATATAAAATATTACATAAACTATATTTAATCTGCAGTCTAGAGTGATGCTAGATCACATTAATTTAGGCCTGAAAAGCAAATCTAAAAATCTTCAATTTGATTTTTAATAGACCAAATTCTTCTGCTCTGTTTGTTTTTAATTTATAGATCTGTATTACAATTATGCTTTTTTTTTTTTTTTACAACATTGTGAACTAGAACACATTTCCTATTGATGATATATAACATTAATAACTATGTAAATATTCTGTTCAGTTTCAATGAGAGCTCCCCTGACTATAAGTAACACATTCTTATTACTTACTAAATTATTACATGAAGCTGATAATATTTTGGGATAAAAACATTTTAATACTACTAAATTAATTGAAATAAAAATGTGTTAGTTAATTTACTTTCATTAGAAGTTTGTTTTGTGACTATAAATTTGGAAAAGTAATTAAAGGGCCACCCTGACAACTAGATCTCAATGAAATGAGTCTGGTTGCAGTAGCCCTGTAGTTTTTACTCTGCAGTATAAAACATTGCAGTTTTTGTGAAAAATTGAGGGTTTACATTGAATGGTTAAACACAGCTCTAGTGGCTGTATTCCTGACAGACACTAAAAATGACTCCTCTACAACTCAGTCATGTGTCCTATGGAAATTGGTTCTCTATGAGAAGCACTTGGATGCACGTATGGCCCTCGCTCACGCATATCAGTCCACAATGCTCCTTCGTGTGGCAGAACCGAAAACTGTCAGGGCTGGTCAAAAGGTAAGTAAAAAGCTTATTTTTTTCAGCTTTTTACTGGAAACAATGAAGCAGGCACTAGGACACTATAATGTTAAGAATACAAATCTGTATTCCTAATGCCATAGTCTTCCATTAAGTTTTTCCTAAAAGTACAATAAAATAGACTTTTGGAATTTTGAAGTGTGCCATGGAATTAAAATACGACAAAATAAAAATTAAATTCCCCTTATTACATAATTGAATAAGACCTTTTGCTCCATAATTAAAATGTAAAGTTAATTGTCAGATTGAACGAGATGGCACATTTCAGTCACACGAGCAGTTAATCCACATTCATAGAGTTATGTGGATTGGGCAATGTGCCAGAATAAAAGATCTGGAGTAGCTGAGAGAGTCTGAATGTGCTGGGAAATATCTGTTCAAACAGGATTTTTGGATGTCGAAATCGACTGCCACTCCTCCCACTCTGAAAGAGAACTATTTTGAATCTGATACGCTGGATAAAGAGACAGACCGCATGAGCCAGTAGTCAAGATCCATGTCTGCCCAAAACAACTGGAAGCTGAAGTGGACCTTCACAGGAGCCATCTGCCAGACCCTCATCCACAGTAAGAGGCTGCTGTCTTACTATAAATCACTGTTGCCTATTGTGACTGTGTTGGAGGACTTACTGTTGCAGATAACATGTAATTGTCCTCTATAGTCTCCATGGTATTGTAAAATATCAACTACTTGGCTCCCCTCACTTCTTCTCTCACTCAGTCTTTTTGCCTTTGAGATGTAACCAAGGTTTTTTTTTTTTTTTAAATCAGTCTGTTCCTATTTAAGGAAACCACTGACTAAGGATTCTTAATTACTAACTCAGTGTGTGCTCTGCTTTGACTTCTATATGCTACTGCTGTGCTAATATCAGTGCTGCCCTGATAGAGATTTGTCAGACATCTTGAAATATAGGGACATACTAAAAGGAATGACAGATTGGAATGCCCATAGACTTTAACAAGGCAATCTGTCATTCCTTTTAGTATGTCCCTGAAATATATGCTAGTGCCAGATTGCAGTAGACACAATTCATTAATGGAAGCGTTGGGAGGAAGTAATCTCAGATCGCTTCCTCCTTATGGTAAAGGAGAAACCACGCTGAATGAGAGCAGCACTCTGAAGTTCCTGCCCTTTCCCTGGACTCAGGTAGTCTTGTCCCATCTGGACCTCAGGGAAACAACCTCCTTCTGCTAAATGGTAAGCAAAAAGGATGGTGGGTAAAGTAACTGGGTCAATGTGTCTGGCAGTGTGTAGTGGGTTGTGTGTCTTGCTGTGTGTATTGAGCTGTGCATGTGTCTGGCAGTGGTTACTGGTGTGTGTATCCCCAGAGAATGGATAAATGTATTTATGTGTGTATGTGTGTGTGTGATTGTCTTTGCCTGGGAGCCTTTGACAGAGATGCACACAGACAGATGCACCAGAAGCCTGTATACATACGTACATACATGCAATTATATACAGGCTATACGCAAACACACATAGCTTCACAAGCAGCTTACACAAACACAACATGATTGTTATTATTATTATGATTTATATAGCACCAACAAAAAAACCCCATAGGATCAGCATCCCATGGGACTTCAGAGTCTTATTTTGGCACTATGCTGGGATGAGGGTGCCTACCCCCTTCTCTATACCATGTGCTGAATAATGTTAAAATATATCAGTGTATGGGCTGTCCTTCATAACATGTGCTGTATATTGTTTTAATGTTTTAGTTGTATATGCTGTGTATTGTACATGCTGCTAATGTGTGAATTGAATAGGCAGATCCTCTCTGGTGCTGCAAGCCCAGACCGGAAACACAGCAGATACACTATTTCCTAGGGAGACATAAATTAATCTACAGCACATGGATTTGAACTATGTGAGTGTCAGATTGTTTTCTCTGTTAGTGGCATGAATCTAAAAAGGCCATGTTTGATGTTACCTGGGTACCTGGTGTGTCTGGTGAATTCTCTGCCCCTTGTATCAGGTAAATCGCAACCAGAGGGACAGTGGTGAGTTCATTCCAGCAGTGAGCATTAGTCATAGAAAAAAGGAGAGCACAGCAGTTGTTTGTTGCACTATAAGACTAATGTTCTATATGGAATGTCTGCTTGCACATGGATCTCCTATGGTTGCCAGATGTTTTTTCCTGAACTAAATGTGGTGCCCTGTTGTTATGTAAAATTCAAATGTTGCAAGAGGGAATTCTGTTAATTAATCAATCAAGGACCTTGCAGCATATGAAATCTACCTACAGCAGAGTAGTACCTTTTCACATGTTGACCCATTAGCATGAAATTATAGGTGTCCAGAGAAACATATGTAGTACACCAATATTTCCATTGAAGTCTGCACACGCTAGTAGCCCCAAAATAGTGTCCCAGGTAAGTAATACAAAAGTGCACAGTTTATTAAAAAATAGATAGAGGAAACATGATGGATCTGGAAACCCTGCATGTATTACTGTCTTTGAATTACAACATATGTACATAATAATAGGAAACAGAAGTATGGGTATCATTCATAACTCAAATCATTGGCATCACTAGAGGGGAGCTGTCAGGGTTCCAGTCCCAAGCGTGGGGCATCATAGCCCCGAATACTTTAGACTGCTTCTCTTCTAGGAGTTGTGGATTGCCATGGTAATGGTACTTAGGTGATGGTGCAGACCACCAGGACACAGCTGCAATCTCTTATTAAATTCTGCCTGCTCTCCCTGCTCCTTTCCCAGACCAGGGCACTCTGTGGTACCTCTTCAGAGGAAGCTGATTGGCAGCAGTGTAGGTATATGAGGGATCCTGGGGATATGGCAGCATGGGCCCCATAAGCTAATACTGAGCCCTTACCACCAAGTACACTAAGGCTTAGACTAGTCTATTAACTTTCCCTTCAGGGTTTTGCATTGTAACAACCAAACAGGGTCTGTCACTAAACTTCAAATTCTGGTCTGGCACAGCATGTAAAATGTTATCCATTTACGTTGGCAACAAATTCTACCAGTATGATTATACAGACATGCTGTGAAAGGCCACAACAGCATACATAATATCTGAGTTGCAGTTTTGTTTTGCCTAAGTGTTTGCAAAATACAAAAGTAACTTTAAAAAATATATATTTTTAGACATAGATAAAGTTTTCTGGTGAATGGTCGTATTTAAAATAAAATTGCCATATATGGAATAGTAACTGGGCAATGATTCCATGGTAGTTATTTTTATGTAAGTTTTTAATGTTCTATTACTAACAATTTGATGTTTGCAAAATTAACCCTCACCCCTAGGATGATCAAAGTGGGACATTGTGTGTTCCTTTCTGTATATTGGTTTGTTTATTTTTATAACAAGTGGAGAACTGGCATCTTAAGGCCTGGATGGCAAATACAAACGGATATCCTTTTTTTGCTCATGAAACTCAGTTCTCTGTGTGGATGACCCTATGCACATAGAGAACAAGATATATGAGTTTGACTGATGGAGGATGCTGGGAGTTTTTAGGTTTGACATTATTTATCGCTGCATCCTTTGCCAATGTGATCTTCACAGCATAACCCTAGCATTTACCAAGCTCTATGCTTGCCTAAGGGACTCCATGTGTCTCCTGTAATTCCGTTGTCTAATAATAAGTAATCTTTTAAGAATTTCATGAGCACTGTATCAAGTTGCAAACACCTACAGTAATATAATATGTATTCAACATAGTCTGCCAGCTTTGATCTCATCTGAGATCCGTTGGTAAATATCTAATTCTGCACCTGGAGAGCACTGAGATTGTTGAGCACCATACCAAACATAGTTGCACACAGTGCTGAGCTACCAAGGACCCTGCACAATATCTGCTTGCTGTCTTACTCCAGTGCCAGCAGGCATCCAAATGCACCTACAAACGCATATTCCTAACATTAGAGTGTTCTGCAATCTCTTTAGTTCAAGGCCAACAGAAGTTAAGGGACAGTATAGGCACCCAAACCACTTCAGCTCATTGAAGTGGTCTAGGTACAGTGCCCCCCAGTCAGTATAACCCTGCAATTGTCATTATTGCAGTTATTGTTGCAGTTATTAATAAACTGTAATAATTTCAGGGTTAACTCCACCCCAGTGGCTGTCTATCATACATAGAGTAGCTTTTGGGTTGTTAGGTGACTTTTGATCACTTAACACACTCTAGATGTCCTCACACTGTGCATGAGGACATCCAGTGTTGTCTAAAACCGCATAGGAAAGCATTGATTCAATGCTTTCCTATACGGTAGTCCTAATGCGCTCGCTGTTCGTGCGCACAAGATACTCGACAACGGTTGATGTCAGGGGTGAAGCCTGACCTAGCGCTAAGGAACATCGCCCAACATTGTATTCCTAGCACTATAGTTTCTCTTTACCAAATGCAAAGGTCACCGCAGCTGCGGCTCCTCCCCTGGCTGAGATGATGATCATTGCTGCCCACATGCTAGAAAAGACCCCATCCATGGGGATGCGGTCTGTAAAATAGCTGAAGGGGACAGGGACCTAGTGGGCATCAGATGGGGATTACTCTAGTATTAGTGGATTAGGACCTAATGTTCCCCGTGGCCCTTTCTTAGTAAAGAGAAACTCCAGGCAAAGGCTGAACTATTTGTTAATGTGTAATATAATGTAGAACATATGGAAAACATTGATGAATTTTAAAATATAATGAAAATAGATATATTTTTTAATCTTTAGGCTTTGCAGCTTCTGAAATAATCTCTTCCTAAAGCATAACAGTATCATGTCTTTGCTATAACTTTCTGAGTTTCTAAGATTATCTGATAAATCAGTTCACAGGCATTTTAGATGGCTATAACAAAGGTCTCTTGGAGTTTTAAGTAATACAAGTACTTGTATGCGAGAGGAAATCCTTACTTTACCTCTCTGGGACATATTCGAGTTAGGGTAAATTTTGCGGGGTGGAATTTTTCCCCATATGAGGTACTGTACTAGCAACAGTTACATGGGCTTGCTTCCTTGTTCTATAATGTAAGCTAGAAACATAATTATAGTGCTTGGAGTGTTCATTTTATGGTAAAATAATAATTTAGGCCAGAGGATAACAATTTTATATAAAAACATACAACCACCCTCGTCTAGAAAAAAACATACAACCACCCTCCTCACTTCTAAAATGAATGATCCGTGAGAAGTATTGCAGTAATTGCAGTAATGTTATTCCTTACTGTTTAAATTCTACTGCTAAATATTTAGTGCTTGATAAACATTCTAATAAGCTTTTTCATCTTAACAAATAGCACACTCAAGTTTGAGTTTCAATGAGTCAAAACATCTGTTTGTAGAGCCACTTGGGCTGGCATGTATAAAAGGGATACCACTGCAGGTTACACACCACTTCCATTGTATTTCATCTGGTATACAATACAATGCGTTTTGTCCTTAAATAAAAGCAAATCATCTTCCATGTATTTCATTAGTTAACCAAAAAAAAACATATTTGCAGACACAATTAACCCCTTCACTACCATTGATATTAATAATAAAGGGGGGAGCTGGGGGGATTGAGGCCCAAATTAATTATACAATTGGAGGGTTGGACATGCCATAATAATATGGATATCTGATTTAAAAAGTATTCGCTTTATACAGGCCTGGCACTGGAGGGAGGCCTAACCTTACTCCTGGTTTGCCGAAATCTCTGCTAGTCTCCTGCACTTCTTGATGCTGGAAACTGGCTGACCATAAACTTCATGTGAAACATTAATGCTAGGGCCCTGGGCTCCCTTAATAATTGCGGATGCCATCTTGACCTTATTTGTTTTCACTTATTTTTATTTTGTATACCTTAACTCTCACCTTATGCATTGCAGTTGTGTGACTGTGCAAGCGGTTCTAGTGGTCTTATTTGTCACACGCTAGCCTAGACTGTTTTAAAGCATTATTAGTCTACTACGAGCCTTCCTGTCTAGATAACCCTAGCCATTTACAAGTATAGCTTTTGTTTCATATTTAGAAGTGCATGCCTCATTATAAAAATTGTAAATCTTGAAATGCCATACTATTGTTATGCTCTGTAATTTATTGATATTGCCATCGCTGTTGGGACATTGCAAGCTTCAAACATTTTAACTAAAAATTACAAATATATATTAGCATAACTTTTATTTGAAGCAAGGGATGCACAGGTAGCATGTAAACAAATCACAACACAGCAATTGTATGTATCAATTGCTTTGCAGACAAACAGAACTAAATTTAGATAATTTTTATTTTCATCCTTTATAACATTTTTGGGAAACGAAAAGCTTTAGACAGTAAATAGTGACATTTATCTTGCAATATTTCACACAGGATCTGAAATTTTGAGATATTTGTTCCTCTACAGTGTGTTAAAAATTCTCAAGGAAGCACTATAGGGTAAGGAACACAAACATGCATTCCTGACCCTATAGTGTTAAAACCACTATCTAGCCCCTTGCCTCCCTAAATATAGTAAAATCTTACTTGTATTCAAGTTTGAACCTGCTTCCTTTGTCTGTGAACTTCCTCTGACCTCTGACATCATCAGAAGTGGTGGCCTGATCCAATCACAGTGCTTCCCCATAGGATTGGCTGAGACTGACAAGGAGTCAGATCAGGGGCAGAGCCAGCATGATTCAAACACAGCCCTGGCCAATCAGCATCTCCTTATAGAGATGAATTGAAACAATGAATCTCTATGAGGAAAGTGCAGTGTCTGCATGCAGAGGGAAGAGACACTGAATGTTTGGAAGCATTTTAGGCAGCCATGACCCAGGAAGGATCTCTAACAGCCATCCGAGGAGTGGCCAGTGAAGTTATCACTAGACTGTAATGTAAACACTGCATTTTCTCTGAAAAGACAGTGTTTACAGCAATAAGCTTGAAGGTAATGATTCTACTCACCAGAACAAATTCAATAAGCTGTAGTTGTTCTGGTGACTATAGTGTCTTTTTAAAGTATAAATGAGGTTGAGCTATGCTTTATGGACTAGATTTTACACTGCAAAATACATGAAAATACTTGATTTGGGTATTGAAGGGACTAAGAGTTGATAATTTTCCAGTGAATGTTAAGGAGCTGTAAATGAGTGGGGATACTTTTGGCTGACTGCTTTTGATGCCTTTCTGACAGAAGACACACAGTATCTGCCATAATAAGATCGGATTTACTTAACTCTTTGTTGTGAATTAGTTAAGCAATATTCACTGTATACTGTACATAGTATGTATTGGGTTAGGATTAAAGATGGCCTTGAATGGGGTTTTCCAACAGAACATTACCTAGGACACGGGTTCTTGCGTTTAGACTGGAAGAAGATTGAGTCTAAGGCAAAGGAAAGTTTTTAGTTTTTTTTACTGTAAGAACAATAAGGATGTGGAATTCTCTGCCTGAATAAATGGTTCTATCAGAGTCCATACTGATGTTTAAACAGCAACTAGATGCAGACTTGCAAAAACAGAATATTCAAGGATCTAATTTTTCAACTGTAGGGTAAATGCTTTTTCATCCAAGGATAAATCTGACGGCCATTCTGGGGTCCAGAGGGATTTTTTCCTAGTTTGTTGCAAAATTGGAAGTGCTTCAAACAGTTTGTTTTTTTTGCCGTCTTTTGGATCAACAGCAAACAACAAATGTGAGGAAGGCTGAACTTAATTGACACCTCTCTTTTCAGCCTATGTAACTATGTACTTATTTGACCAATGTAGGACTAAAAGCTGTTATGTGTTGGCATTGATGTTTGCCTGAAGAACATGTAATACAAACAAAAGACTCATGCCTTATTCATATACAGAAAAACTTAAAATTTATCTCACTAAGTGAAGTGAATATTTCAAATAGACCACCTGCTTGGAAGCAAAACTAACTTTAATCTCATTTATTCACTTATCATACTGAGTCTTTTAAAGTGGTGCTGTCATGATTTTTATTTTCTTCACTTTTCCTTTCTTTATGCTGCTCAGCACTGTATCTATCATGAGGCAAGCACAGCATTTGCCTTGAAAAGCACTTTTCTTGGGGGCAGAAAAAACTATACCCCTAAATGCCTGCTCAGACGCAACCACAACTTTCACCAGGTCCCCCATATTGCACCTGTCATGGGGCCCAAGAGTTAGCCTGCTGGCCACCATAGAACCACCAGAGGTGGCTGTGTGCAATGGAAGCGGGCAATCATCCTGATCTTCTCCCTTGCGTGTTCTGCAGTGATGCTGGGAGCTGTAATATTGCGCCACTCCGGCCCAGGTATCACTAGACAGCGCGTGATGGATCAGAGGTAGGGAGGATGGGTGGACAAATTAAAATAATAAAAAAAATAAACAAATTTGTGTGTGTGTGTGGGAGTATAGATGTATCTGTCAGTGAGTGTGTGTGTGCACCTGGCCATCCACCTGATCTAAATGAAAAAGTGATTCATCAGGCTAGACAACCTTCTTCCATTGCACCATGGTCCAGTTCCAATGCTCACGCCCCCATTGAAGGTGATTTCGGTGGTGGACAGGGGTCATCATGGGCACTCTAACCAGTCAGTGTCTATGTGGTGCACACCCATGTACCACAAACTGCAAAGTGATGTGTGTTCTGCCACCTTTCTATCATGGCCAGCATTAAGTCTTTCAGCAATTTTAGCTACAGTAGGTCTTCCGTGTGATTGAACCAGATGGATAAGCCTATGCTCACCTCGTGCATTAATGAGCCTTGAGTGCCCATAACTCTGATGCCGGTTCACTGGTTGCCCTTCCTTGCACCACTTTTGGTAAACACTAACTACTGCATACCAGAATACCGGGTACACCCCAGATGTCTTGCTGATTTAAAGATGCTCTGACCCATCAGTCTAGTCATCACTATTTGGTCCTAGTCAAAGATCCTAGCTATCACTATTTGGTCCTAGTCAAAGATCCTAGCTATCACTATTTGGTCCTAGGCTAAGATCCTAGCTATCACTATTTGGTCCTAGGCTAAGATCTTTTCACATGCCGATTTTTCTGCTTTCAACACATGAAATTCAAGTACTAATTATTCACTTGCTACCTAATATATCCCACTCCTTGACAGGATATATATAAACCAAGAAAGTTATGGTAAGGAAAAAAGTGATTTAAAACCCCTTCCACCTGAAGTCAGTGGATAGTCAATGCATTGCTAAACACAGATCTGCACACACCAGTCAAGTCATAAGACTTGCTTTTCCCACAGAAATGCAAATGAGTTCAACAAAGAATTACCCACCCAAATATCTCCCACTCCCCATATCTTCCTCTAACAGTTCCCACCCCCTGTTGCAACCATATCTTCCCCCAGTATCCCCTCCCCACTCCATCCATATCTTTCCCTTTCTTCCTGCACAAGCAGCAATCAACTGACTTCCTCACAGAATCTCAGTTAAAATGTGGGAGACTCCCTCAACGTCCAGGAGAGTTGGGATGTCTGCCTAGGTATTCCCTAAGAAAGTATTCTTATGTATAACTTAAAAACAAGGAGACATATGGGACAAATAAGGATATTTTAAATCTGCAGAGTAACAGCCCCACTTTCATTTTGTGTTTTATAATTTTAGTCTGTGAGCACTGACTGTAGCCAATATTATGATTAAAAATAACGTGATCCATTATCAAGAAAATTGCATGATTTTATGTTCTTTTCTGTAGGTTAACAGAATGCCACAGACCATTAATACTCTTCTTCTAACCCTAACTGTTCTGGCGTCAGGTAAAGCAACAGGTACGTTGGTAATTGTTATTATTTTTTATATTAATGAAGGTCAAAAGCTTGCAGATGTTCAGGCTATGCATATGAATGTTTTGAATAGATATTTATATAAAATGTATTTAAACTTAATAAGGCTGTTTTGGCTTTAAGAATTTATAAATGGTGTATATCGGTGATAAGATGCAAAATGAATATTCCTGCGCTATTTATTTGCTGCGGGAAGTTTTTTGTCTCAGATACCTTTTGCATACTCTAATATCTTTACCTGTGACCTTTAATGAATATATATATTATATATTTTTTAAACTGAGCTTTCAGCGTAGCATGGATGATGCCTGAATTGGGACATAACCTGTGGAACCCGAAACAACTAACTGTAACCTAATGTTAAGAAAACAAAAAGACAATAAAATCAGGATACACCCGATTCGTGATCTGGATTGGGTAAATGAGGTAATATGGGCATAACCAAGCCCAGACTGGCCATCGGGCATACCGGGCAGAGCCGGCGCTATCAGTGTGCCGGCCCTGGTGTGCCTTCATGGGCCGGTGGGGAGATCAAAGATCTCCCTCATTGGCCCACAGGCACTGTAACTCTGCTATGCCGGCTGGGGAGGGAGTGAGGGAGGCAGGAGAGAGGACCCGGGGAGCTCTAACCCTCCGGGTTCCTCCCGCTAGATCTGAGCGTTGCCGCGGTTACCACAGCAATGCTCAGATCTCGCGAGAGTGAACTCTAGCCCTGCAGGTTAGAGTTCACTCTCACCACTGGACCACCAGGGAAGGCAGCATGGCTCCCCATTCCATGGCAGAACGGCTCCACCCCCCTCCCAGGCTAGAGGTAAGAAGGGAGGGGGGGATATAACTTTTAAAAAAAGATTTTAAAAAAATTCACATTAACAGCACCCAGACACACACACCACCCTCAGACACACACAGCACCCCCAGACACATACAGCACCCCCAGACACACACAGCGCACCCAGACACACACAGCGGACCCAGACAGACAGCACCCTCAGACAGACAGCACCCTCACACACACACAACACACTCCCACACATATACAGCACACACACACACACACATATATATATATATATATATATATATATATTATATAAAATAACCCTCAGTGAGTTAACAGACAAAGAATATTAGAAACCTAGAATGTGATGGCAGATAAAAACACCCTTACACACAGCACCCCTCTTACACACACACACACTGCACCCCTCACACACACACATACACTGCACCCCTCACACATACAATACGTCCAAATATATATATATATATATATATATATATATATATACACACTACAGCACCCCTCACACTGCACCACTAAAGACATTACGCTCCAGATACATGCTAGATCCCTTACCCTAAATGCACTCTTAATCCTCTACACACACACACACACACACACACACAAAATCTCCTATACACACTCTGGGTCCTTTACACACTAGATCTCCTACACACACAGTGCACCACCTGCACACACTACATTCCTTGTAAGCAAACACATACAACATTTTCTAAACACACCCTCTCTACAACCCCTACACAAACTACGTCACCTATACACACACTCGCTACATGCCCTATACACACTATGCCCCCTATACACACACACACTCTCTACAGCCCATAGCCACATATATTACACCACAAACATGAATGAAATTTACATATTTACACAATACCATACCACAATCAGCTCACTCTACACACACACAATCCCACAAGCAGGCTCCAAACACATGCACTATACACTTTCCTGGCCCTTTTGTCCTCTGGTATCCCACTTATGGAGACCCCAGAGACAATTTAAAATCAAACACAGCGCAAGAATGTTATTACATTTTCTTGCGCTGCGCAGAACAAATACAGGGCCTTTTTCTAATGCTAGAGCTCTTCAGCGGGGCTGTGCGCATTGAACCAACATGCTCACTTTGAGAGGGGGCGTGCTTGTCATTAGTGATGACAAAACACACCCTCTCTGGCCCCGCCCCCTTCTTAGGGGGCCGCTCTGATTGAAAGATGCCCAGGCCTTTTTTTTTTTCTCAGTACGGCCCTGGGCATAACCCAAAATAAAATACAATAGAGAGAAATTAACCCCTTAAGGACAAGACTTCCAGAATAAAAGGGAATCATGACGGAATATGTCCGTCATGTGTCTTTAAGGGGTTAATAAGGTAAGGAGCCTATCTAAAAAGGGTAGGGACCTACCTTAGTGAAATTACTTCTCAGTAGCTCATTCCAAGGTAATAGCAATAAATATATTAGAAAACTAGTAACATGCTAAACTTTATTAGGAGTATATTTAGGACCTGAGTCTAAAATGTAGTAAAGAGAAAAAAGTATAATAAGAAGAGCGGGGAAAATAATTAGTTAATGGTAATATAAAGAGCTAAAAAAAACCACAAAAATCCCTAAAGACACGTATTCACTTGAATCACATATATGGATTGTTCTTTTAAAAAAAATCCCTAAAGACACTTTTTCACTTGAATTCCATATATAGATTGTTCTTAAAAGTTTAGCATTTTACTAGTTTTCTAATATATTTTTTGCTATTACACTGGAATGATCTACTAAGAGGTAATTTCAGTAAGGTTGGTTCCTACCCTTTGTAGATAGGTTCCTTACCTTATTAGTTTCTTTATATTGTAACCTAATGTTCCATGTTCACATATATAGGTGTATGGAGTGTCCCTTTAAATCTGAGGAATGGGCAATGATAATCCAAAAGTATAGAGACTGAAAGGGAACTTTGGCACTTTTAGATGTGAATTATCATGAATACTGTTGCTGACAATGGTGACGTACCAGGAAAATGAAAGACAGTAAAAATACCTTGGAGATTACCATACTGCGTATATTTTTATCTGTAAGTATTTCCGCTTCTGGGCAACTGGCCACAAATCTGTGCAATGTTAAACCATAATCAATTATGACGTTTGTAACTCTTTAGAAATCAGAAAACATTTCAAGATAAATTTTATGTTGTAGTATGTCTCAATCGTTTAACAATGTAATATTTACTGGGTTTTTTTTCACACACACAAACTCTGTTAACATTAACATATATACATAATGTGTATATATGTAGCGGAATGGGCCTTGGGACGGTACCCTTATGCCTGCTGTGGGCTGTCCGTGCCCTATGTTTGGGGCTTGCAGTTCCTGTGTGGGATAAATCTCCCTATGATTCAATTACCATGCTTTTTTCCCTGTTTTGCCTGGCCGTTCGGTAAATACCGTTCTCCAGATTTGCTACCGCTGTTCTAGTCGACAACCGAACAAAATACCGAACAGCAGGCCACCTAGATGTTGAGTGTGCCGCTCATTAACACCAATAACCCCATTCACACCTCCACAAACCGCAACTACATGAACGTTTCAAGTGGTTGGCTGGGTGGCCGCCGTTCGTATGTGCGAACACGTGACGGCAGCCATCTTGGAATACGAACAGAGACAGTGGTTTTTGGTCGTCGAGTGTATGGAACTAAAATCAGCCACTCAACGGCGCGAACACTGCTGGGACTTCCAACTTCTGTTACATTCGTGGAGATTCAGGCGAGCAGAGTGGCGTTCAGGGGGAGCAAACTCCCAAACCAGATACTTATAATGAACATATACACGAACAGTTTTGCATTAGTTTTTCATGTATTTTATGCTCCCGAAAGAGACTGACCGCACAGCCTAATTTCATTGAACCTTTTTGGGCAGGCGCCTCGTGTCCGGTCAGTCTAAACTATACCCCGGTGGCGTGTTGGCTGCGTTCGTGGGTTCTGAGCGCATTTTATCTATATTGGGCGCTCAGACCCAGGCTATACAGAGATATAGGACTTGAGGGAATACCTTGTGGGGAAATGTATGTTTTGGGGTGATAAAGATTGTACATGTCCTGGACCTGAGAGTTAATGTAATTATACTGTTTACTTTGCTTCAGTCTACTTTCAGGTCCAGTGGGGAATGCCCCTGGAATGAGTATTTGGAAACCCCTTGCATGGGAATTCTCATAAAAGGCCGTGTGTGGCTCCATTAAAATCAGTTATACCCTCAGAGCTGAATGTTGACCAGTAGCTGGGTGTCACGTATTCATCCGCTTACAAAAATGTGGTTAATGACATTTACTGTCCACACAGGAAAAGTTGTGCCGAGCAACAACCAAATCCACAGAAGGGTTAATGCTGAGCAGTAATTATGCAAATGAGATCTTGTAACTGCCTTTGGGGTCAAAGGCCGGTTACAGCCTATCAGACTTAGAGGAGGGGTATTTAGGCCCAGTTCTCATCCTGCTCAGTGCCCTGTCGTGGTTTCCCTTGTGGTTGTCCGAGAGCGTGTTATTGATTCTGGTTATTCTGGTTATTTGACTTTGGCATTGTTTTTGACTTCCCTGTTTTCTGGCATCCCTGACTCCTGGCTTTTCCTTATCGTTGTGTCTCTTTCTGTTTCCCTTGACCTCGGCTATTCCTGACTATTCTTTGGTACGTTAGTCCGGCCAGTCTAAGGTCCGGTATACGTTACCTATCAGTCCTCTGTGTTACACAGTTCTACGTGCTGGATCATTCTGTAATCCTGACATTACAACATAGATCCTGTAGAATTGTGTAAGCACATAGCTGCTTGCGAAAGGAAACTGGAGGATAATGATCACTGCTTGGATCAATTTGCCCAGGCTTTTAGTACGCTTCTTACTCGTACAGCACATCTACAACCTGTGGCTGCTCCTACTGTGCCACCTCTGCCTTGTGTACCTCCGTCTATAGCAGGGGTTCTCAACGTTAGTCCTCAGGACCCCCTACCAGTCCAGGGTTTAGGGATTACCTGGGTGTGTCTCAGGTGTTTAGAAAAAGAAAAGAAAAACACCTTAGAGTTTAAGGTGTTTTTTTCCCTTTTTCTAAACACCTGAGACACACCCAGGTAATCCCCAAATCCTGGACTGGTAGGGGGTCCTGAGGACTGGGTTGAGAACCCCTGGTCTATAGTATACAAGGTAC